TTATGCAAATCAGATTGACTGCACAAGTCTCTTAAATTTATACACCTAGTCCTATATTTGAACATATTTTAAACTTTTCAACAATCCCATTTCTTTAAAAAAAACTCTAATTAGGCTGCTATCCCCAAGTAAATCCATGCAAGTGTTCAGCAATTTGTTTGATTCTGCTGTTATGTCACCATTAATGCAACTTTCAGTGTTTAGCTAAATTACTGGGCCTATTTAAAAGTTGGTGGGTTATAGGTTTCTTAAAGAGTTACTCTTTCCAAGCACTCTCCCTACTCTCAATCCTCTGTGAGCAGCACATTTCTCCAATTTTGGTCCCTTGCACAACCATGACTTCATTATTCCACCACAAGCATCTGTGACTTCAGTTGCCAAAACACTAAGCACAGGAATTTCCTGTCAATGACTCGCCACCTTTCTCTCCTTCTACAAAATACACCTTAAAATCTACTTCTTTGACCAAGCCTTTGGAAACCTGTTCTAATATTTTACGTGGACTGGTGTCAAATTTTGTTTCATAAACTTTGTTTCCTGCAGAGCATCTTGGGGCACGAACATCCTGACAAAAATGCAAACCATTATTGCAATGAAAGCGATGACACATGTTTTAGGCACAACTCCAGAGGCTCCGGTCATCCATAATTACTTCAATAAAATGAACAAGTCATCCCTGAAAGCTGAATTCATGGGCTTTAACTAATCAACAACAGGAAGCATCAAAGTCACACAGAATCTTATCTTTACCCAATTGCTACAACAAAAAAAAACAGAAACACAGTCTGATTATTTCTTCTCTTGAGCACAGGCACAGTGATCAGCTGTGGTGCTGGTATCAGCTGACAACAGTGATCGGGGAACAGGGCACCTGCCTCTTTGTAGGTTACGTGGAACAATCCCTCTTCCGTACCTACACCGGCCCTAAACCCCACCTCTTCCTCCGTTACATTGATGACTGTATCGGCGCCGCCTCGTGCTCCCACGAGGAGCTCGAACAGTTCATACACTTCACTAACACCTTCCACCCCAACCTTAAATTTACCTGGACCATCTCTAACACCTCTCTCCCCTTTCTGGACCTCTCTGTCTCCATATCGGGCAACCACCTAGAAACCGATATTCATTTCAAGCCCACCGACTCCCACAGCTACCTAGAATACTCCTCCTCCCACCCACCTTCCTGCAAAAATGCTATCCCCTATTCCCAATTCCTTCGCCTCCGCCGCATCTGCTCCCAGGATGAGGCATTCCACTCCCGTACATCTCAGTTGTCCTCGTTTTTCAAGGACCGTAACTTCCCCTCCTCGGTGGTCGAGAACGCCCTCAACCGTGTCTCCCACATCTCCCGCACCTCATCCCTCACACCCCGTCCACGCAATAAAAACCAAAAAAGAATCCCCCTCGTCCTCACGTACCACCCCACCAACCTCCGGATCCAACGCATCATCCTCCGACACTTCTGCCATCTGCAATCCGACCCCACCACCAAAGACATCTTTCCCTCCCCACCCTTATCTGCTTTCCGGAGGGACAACTCTCTCCGTGACTCCCTTGTCCGCTCCACACTCCCCTCCAGCTCCACCACACCCGGCACTTTTCCCTGCAACCGCAGGAAGTGCTACACCTGCCCCCATACCTCCTCCCTCACCCCCATCCCAGGCCCCAAGAAGACTTTCCACATCAAGCAGATGTTCACCTGCACATCTGCCAATGTGGTATACTGCATCCGCTGTACCCGGTGTGGCTTCCTCTACATCGGGGAAACCAAGCGGAGACTCGGGGACCGCTTTGCAGAACACCTACGCTCGGTTCGCAATAAACAACTGCACCTCCCAGTCGCGAACCATTTCAACTCCCCCTCCCATTCCTCAGACGACATGTCCATCCTGGGCCTCCTGCAGTGCCACAACGATGCCACCCGAAGGTTGCAGGAACAGCAACTCATATTCCGCTTGGGAACCCTGCAGCCCAATGGTATCAATGTCGATTTCACAAGCTTCAAAATCTCCCCTCCCCCTACCGCATCCCAAAACCAGCCCAGCTCGTCCCCGCCTCCCTAACCTGTTCTTCCTCCCACCTATCCCCTCCTCCCACCTCAAGCCGCACCCCCATCTCCTACCTACTAACCTCATCCTGCCCCCTTGACCTGTCCGTCCTCCCTGGACTGACCTATCCCGTCCCTAACTCCCCACCTACACTCACCTTTACTGTCTCCATCCCCGCCTCTTCGACCTGTCTGTTTCCTCTCCACCTATCCTCTCCTCTATCCATCTTCTATCCGCCTCCCCCTCTCTCCCTATTTATTTCAGAACCCCCTTCCGATGAAGGGTCTAGGCCCGAAACGTCAACCTTTCTGCTCCTATGCTGCTTGGCCTGCTGTGTTCATCCAGCTCTGCATCTTGTTGTCTTGGATTCTCCAGCATCTGCACTTCCTACTATCTCTGACTAAAGACTGCTGTTCTGACAAACAGAAAAATGCAATCGACAATCAGATACTTACCACATTTTCATCAGTAGTAAGTTGTAAAGCTTTTCCTCAGTTATGTTTCTGGGCACAGATATCATAAAGGGTTGTCCAAACAAGCACACATTACTATGGTGGCCATAGGTAGGCTGCCGATACTTCTCACGTAAATATACTGGAATCACAACAGCGTCTGTGTCATCTGTCCTATTGCCAGTTACTTCAAAACTACAACAGAAAAAAGTATTGCAATAGTTATAATTTTTCTACAGAAATCACTGTACTTTTTAACAAAGTTATCATTCAATCTCCATGTAAAATTTTGAAATGGCCCACATCATACTTAATCGTAATAAGTGGCCGAACAAATGAGCAGTTTGTTGCTTGACAAAGCGGTGCTGCTTTAAAAAGAATGAAAAGAATTTAACAAAATGATTAACTCATTAAAATACTATGAAACAACATTAAAGCACTAAAATAACATTGGCTGGAGTTGACGTAACAACAGGTATCACTGTCTTTTCACTAAATGTTCGATAAACAACGTTCGGATATTTCCTTGATCTCTACCAGATTTGAGACATTTCCACTGTAAAGTTTTGGTAATATTGAATTTGATTGGTATGTGTGAAGCCATGAAGGGAACTTATTGTTTTGAATTTTAAAATCTTTGAACAGAAATGTATATTGATGTTTACAGCTTGACAACAACTGTCAGTTTAGTTCAGCTCCCTTTGCCAAAGAGAAAGGTGGTAGTGGATTCAAGCTCCAATCAAGTGGCTGACACTCAAATACAATACTGAAGGAGTGCTACATTGTTGGAGGTGATGTTCCTATTGACCTGGTCAACCTATGCTTCCTCTCAGCAAACTCACTTGAAGTGAATTAATTGTTCATTCAGTTTATTGCTTGACTTTGGATCTGGTCGCCTGGAACAGATAACATGTAACAGTTGCTTAAATTATGTAAAGAAAACACCAAGAAACACAAAACAGTGTTTTGTACAACATACTGCTGTTGAACTGTCTCTAGTGGAATATTCATGGCATGTCTGAAGGATTCTTGGTATTTGTAATTTTGATTGGTTGATTTTTAAAATGATAGCAGCAATTATTTGTTATATTGTTACAAAGACTGAATTCTGCAATCAATTGAAAGATTGCAGCTTACCCACATTACAAGTGATGACAAATTAAACTGACAATTTAAGCGCCTTGGGATATCATGAACTTGTGAAAGTACTATTCAAATACAACTTCTTTTGCTACTGTTGTGCAATGCAAGTCCCTCGCACAAGGCTCTCTTACATATACATAGATAGGCGGAAATTGCTATGGACACAGCATTGTTTATATTTGGGTGTTTTGAAGTATTAAATGGACTAAACTAAAAGGCTGTGATGGAAAAGAACTCTCAAGAACTTCAGCCAGAGCTGCACAATCACACGGTGCACATTTGTAGTGTAGAAAGGAGTTTCAACTAATCATAAAACCAGCTCATCGAACAGCAGCAGTTAGGTCATGAGTCTGTAACACTAATATTGAGTTGATAACCTTTCTGGTGCTTTGTGACGCTGTACTATATTGAAGGCACTATATTAAAGCATGAAGTTGTTGTCCATTAAAATAATGGAAAGAAATATATATATGTAAACTTTTGTCCAATTATCCTGATGGTTGGGGAGCATGCACAGGATAAAGCTAAGGGACAAGGTGAAAGACTATGTTGTGTCACACTCTCAACTTATTACAAACACTTGTTTTAGCATGTAACTGCATCTGGAGTTTGCCTGGCAAAAGTTTAATTCCCGATTATCCAGCGCTGCATTTGGATTTTCAATCATGATTAAAAACTAATGACTAATGTGTTAAGCATCTAGATACACAAATGTAAATTCAGTCATTCGCTTTCATTACAAGTACATGCTGTCAAAACTTGTTTTATTAAAAGAAGGATTTAGATTTTGGAATAATTATGTTAGTATAATAAAAGTAAGTTGGAGTCACACAAATACTTACATAAAGATATCATCTCTTTCCATGATACTACTGAGGTTCTCATCCATGGAAAATATTCTATGGAATCGGTGGTTGTATATATCCGTGACAACCATCTGAATGCAAAACACAAGAGTGTATTATTTCAATGATTATGAGGAAAGAAAAAAAATGAGATTGTTCAAAACTGCAATAACTTTGAATCTTACTTTATCTGCAGGAACATTCGACAGAGTAGACAGTGCAGCACACAGATCGGAAATTATGCCTATTTTTGGAACAACTACTTTATACTAAAAGAAAGCACAAGAATGTGAGTTAAGCAGATTGTTAATAACAACAAAAGTCCCATGTGCCATGCATGCAAGCACAAGTTCAGTTGTATAAACTGTATAAATAAATTTCAGTTATTATAAAATGGCCCAGATGAAACCTAAACCTCAATAAGGTTACTCCAAATGCTGTTATATTTCAATGTTTAAAGTTTATCTTGTGATAGTACAGGGGGAAAAACAAACTATTACTACTGCAGCTCTAAAAAGATCCCTCCTCTGGTCTATCTACATGCAGGTTTCTCACAATGCTACACATAGTTATGGATCAGTCTAACTACTTATATCAACACCATAACCACTTGCTCCAGACATGATTATTCCAAAGGCATCCTTGCCGGTCTTCCACCTTCCTTGCACACTTCACATATGTTCTGCTACAATCTCTCTAAAAGTGGACTGAACAAATTTCGCTGAGATGAAAACCAAAATGGATTGTTTGCCACCTTTTTTCACAAGAGAATGCACAGAGGTAGCAATGATTGGAGTCACATATTTCAGCATATTATAAATGATGTCATGCTAACTCTGCAACAGAAGGCTCTTGTAGCACAGTGGAGTGCCCCTACCTCTAAGTTGGAGTCCCATCTGCTCCAGAGGTGTGTCATAACACTTGCAAACATGTTTATTAAATATATCTACCTGTACAATAGTGGGTTGTTATTTGGAAATTAAAATGACTCATAAATATCATAGGAACACAAACAGGCTATTTAGCTCCTAGAACTTTTTCTGCCATTCAATGAGATTATAGTTGATCTTCTCCATATCTTTTAACACTTTTGACTTAAAAATCTATCAATTACAGCTTTAAAATAATCAATTAAGCAAACATGAATTGCTATTTCCAGAAGTGTTTTCTAAAATTCCACCACCTTTTGTATGCAGAAGCAGCTCCTAATTTCAATCCTGAAAGGTTGCAGTCTAATATTTAGACGATGCTGTCCAGTCCTAGTCTCCCAACTTCTCTATTATTTCACATATTTAGGAAACCCCAATAACCTTCTTGTCAAATTGACTATTCTATAGCCCTCTATACAAAATCTCGTGTTTCCTGTCCCTTACAGCGAGAAACAGGATTAGACTTCTCAACAAAAAACTCAAAGCTAGTTCACATCCTATTGTCTCAGATATCCATTTTCTTTGCTCTACTACTAATTGCAGAACATTCTGTTTTTACTTTCTGGAATCAGAGTAAATTTGCCTCTATAATTCTCGGCCTTCAAACCCTAACTTTCGTGAATCCTAATTTCTCTCCCATGGGCTGAAGTACGTTCACCTCCTTTAGCTTCTCTACAATGGGCATCAGGACAATTTATACATCTAAAGTACAATGTAAACACAAGCAATATTGAACCTGATGTTTGGATAGATGAACACTTTCTGTATTTAAGAGAATGCAACCAAATCAAAATCTAAAAACCTAACAAATTAACTCTCCAGTAGGACTGGAGAAGTAAACCGCATTTTTCATACCTGCATTGGTTTGGTAAGTGGATCCATTCTGACAAGGAAAACCTCCAAAGTGCGTTCTTTTTTCAAGGGCAAAGGAAGTGTTAAATAACAAAAAGGATCAAATGTCACAGAAACCTTTGAGCATTCGGGGCACACAAGAGTAGATTTAAAAAGACCGTGAAAAATATCAACAATGATAGAATCGTTCCGTTTCCTATGATTTTCCCATGCTTCCTTAGCAACCACCTTTAAGAAAACAAAGAAAATGAGATGTATTTTAGACGACAAAGCTCCACTTACTGTAAATGACTTCTTAACAATAGCTTTTTTAAAAGTCTGATCATAGGATATGGGTGTCCCTGGCAAGGCCATATTAATCGCTCATTCCTAAATGCCCTTAGGAAAGTAGTAGTGAGCTGTCTTCTTGAGTCAATCTGAAGCAATTTGATATCGCAGAGAGGCTTGTTTAACCATTTCAGAGGTATTTAAGTGCTGGCCACATCGCTTTGGGTCTGGAGTTAAATGCAGGCCAGACCAGAGAACGGTGGCAGATTTCCTTCCCTAATGGACATTAGGTTTTGTGTTTAACATTAGGCAAGTTTTAAATCCAGATTTACTCAGTGAATGCAAGGTCCACCAGTTCTGTGTTGGAATCTGTATCCTCATCCCCAGAGTATCAGCTTGGCCTCTAGATTACTAGCTCAGAGACATTGGCACCATACCACTGCCTTCCTCTCAACAAAAATATTTAAAACAGGGACAATTAGAATTTTGATACAAGCCATTAGTCCAAATGCTTTATGCGTACATTTATGCCCTAAACAAGCTGCATCCCACTTCACCTAATACTACAGTATAACCTCAGATTCCTATCTATTTCTTGCACTTATCCACTTTAAATAAATCCATGAAAGAGAATAGCTCTCATTTTATGGAATATTTCAATTTTTTTGTGTTTCACATACATCACAAATTCTCTACATTACACTAGTCATGGTGACAAATGCCAGAAAGCAAGTACCTTTGGATTGTAACAGATATATGGCTGTGACAGAAAAATATGGGTGATTTGAAACATACACCTTTGATTCATGAGAATTCCTTTTTTTAATACATTTTGTGGGATGTAGGCATTGCTGGCTTGCCAGCATCTACTGCCTGTCCCTAGGTGCTCTTCAGAAGGTGATGGTGAGCTGCCTTCTTGAACTGCTGCAGTCCACCTGCTGTGGGTTGACCCACAATGCCATTAGGGAGGCAATTTCAGGATTTTGACCCAGTGACAGCGAAGGAAGGGCGATATATTTCCAAGTCAGGATGGTGAGTGGTTTGGAGGGAAACTTGAAGATGGTGGTGTTCCTATATATCTGCTGCCTTTGTTCTTCTAGATGGAAGTGGTTGTGGGTTTGGAAGGTGTTGTCTGAGTATCTTTGGTAAATTTCATGTAATTAATTTCCAAGAACATGTAAATTAGAAGAAAAATCAATGAACCATGGAAATTGGATAATATGAAGGTGTGTGAAAGAGCAGGAGACAGAAAGGATTGAACAGCCATTAACAAAACACTTCCCATTTTTTACAAACACTTTAATCTCCTACCTGCAAGGAAGCATAATCACAAATAACAATTGTTGAATCTTTCAGCAAACCCAACATTTGTTTGGCCAAAAGAAAGCCAGTCGGCTGACATATGTTTTGGATCCATTAACAAAAGGCTGTCAATGCTAACTAGTCCAAGTTGGCATTAATGTTTTACCATCACTTTGGAACCCTAAACATGAACTTTAACAACAAAGTAAATGCGGAAGGAGAATATTTCACATTGAAAGCATTTCTCCAGCAAAGCAGCTCCTCCCCAAAACGAAGATAAAATTGCAATTGGTTGTACCTCATCAGGTCTGCCTTCTGCATCCTTCAATTGAATATATGGCTTTTTTCTAATTCTATTCAAATCTTCATGCAAGCCATCAAGGAGAAAGGCCAGCAATTCTTGAGAGTCTTGTTGCTGGTAGCCCGAAAACTGGGGAGCAAAGCGACCAACCTGTGTCTGAAACAACAGCATGAATATGATCTGTTAAAAACCTAATGCCAATAGCCATGGAAATGGGAAAACTTTACCAAATACAGGACGGATAGTGTGAGCATTATTTCCATACACTTGTCATAGAATGAGACACCAAGTGTATTGTGGATTACGAAAGGCTAAATTGCTTTGTAAACGCCAATGTTGGGATACTACAGAATATTTTCATTCATTTATTTCATTTCAATAATCAGGTGTAAGCTCAAGGTCATGACATCTATTTCATTTTACTGCCTTTTTACAATATAACTTTTATTTAACAATATAACTATTCTTTTGCTTTTTCGTTTGTAGTTCATGATGGGAGGAATTAACAGAATATCAATGTACAAACCTTTGTCATTGTGTTTCAAGCCGTATCTTTAAGGAGATACAAACAGATTTTTTGTAAATGAGCAGACATTTCTTCACACAAAGAGTGGTGAGTCTGTGGGATTCATTACCACAGGAAGTAGTTGATGCCAAAACATTGAATGTATTCAAGAGGCGGCTAGATTATAGCACTTGGGGTGAATGGGATCAAAGGTTATGGGGAGAAAGCAGGATTAGGCTATTGAGTTGGACGATCAGCCATGTGCAGGTTTGAAGGGCCGAATGGCCTCCTCCTATCTTCTATGTTTCTATATTGATGTATTTTTGAGATGGGAGAAATATATGCAGAAAGCCTCTGCCCAGAGGTTTTATTTTTGCTGTCTGCTGTAATGATATGGTCTCTACTGTCTGTCAGAAATATAGGAATTGAAGGGCTAACAGCCTGTCTTGGAAGATACCCAAGTCCTAACAATATCTTGTGAGCAATGCTGGAGATCATCCAAATCATTCCACATATCCAGATGTATTTTCTGAACCAAAGTCTTCACTTAGGCATGAACGTTTTACCTTAATAGTGCAAATGAACTGTTATGAATAGATTATTGGCATTTTTTTCATCATCCAAACCTCTATAAGGTATCAGTGTAGACAACGATATACAGGTATTAGTTTGCCTGATAACAGTGTAGCACATTTTGTTTAAACAGCGTGAACACTAAAACTCCAGTCCAGCTTGAGTTGGGTGTGAAAGTTTTGCCTTCATCCTCTGTGGTTGTAGTTAAAAGTAAAGTCGGGTCACAAGAGAACAGCAGAAATTGGAATAATGCTTGACCATTTGTGACATTTTAGTGACACTTCAAATGTCTTTTGCTTGGTCAAGCTGGTTTGTAGTCTCCGGGCATATAGAGGTTTATTTAATATATAAAAACATATATATAAGAGGTTTGCTTGAAATTGAGGTTACATCAATTTTATAACCTATCAAATTGTCAGTTTATTCTATTCATAATTATGACAAAATTAAACTTCTTACTCACATGGCGCAACAGAATTGCAAAGATAAACAGGAACAAACTTCATGAACAGAGGCTGTACCTACTTAATTTGTCTTTAAGTAATCCTCTTAAAATAATTTGCATTTAAACTTCCACCCTGTGCAAAACTTCATTGTATCAAAGAGCTTAATTCAAATGACCAAATGCCAGTCTTTATTTCCTCTTTAATGTTTTAATACATACCTTAAATGCCCTTGGTGTAACATAGCTATATTTTCCTGACCACATCTGCTTGATGAGATCTGCGTAAGCATTTGCTATTTCTCCTTTCATTCCCAGTAAGTTGTCATGATTTAACTCATCCATGTACTCATCAGAAAGGAAGTATTCTGTCAGTGGAGGGGTATTACTCAAACACTACAAAAAAGATAAACTTGTATAAATTAACAAACAAACTAATCACTACACTTTACCAAATACCCAATAAGGCAGTCTCATTGCTGCAAGTTGCCAGAGCTGACCGAACATTGTTGTGAAATATAGCAAAAAACCTGTTTATACTTCAGTCATTGCAAGAAGTTGTATGATTAATACAGAGCATACAATAGCAACACATCCTGTGTTTAAGTAGGCCAGGCAGCATCAGAGGAGCAGGAACGCTGACGTTTCGGGTCCGGACCCTTCTTCAGAAGAATTTGCCTGGCCTGCTGTGTTCATCCAGCTCTACACCTTGTTATCTCAGACTCCAGCATCGGCAGTTCTTACTATCTGTGTTAAAGTAGTCTGTTCAGATGCAACATGAGCATTTTTCAGAGTCAAAAAAAGCATACGCTGGTGAATTTTGAGTTGCGGCTAGGTATAAGTCACCAAGGGGAAGCACGTAATTAAGGAAGATGATGGGGGAAATGGAGCAAGTGAATTCAAAGGAATAATAGTGCCAGAGGTGAAGTTATTACTGTGGTTGTTCTAGATATGCTTTGGATATAACCTAAGATAAAAGCAATAGGATGGCTCAACAACAATGCAGACTGTTTTTCTATCCCTGGACAACCTATTCTACTGTTGTGCAGTAATTGATCTCAACCTGCAACTGGAAATGGGTATTAAAAAGTCTATCAAAACAGATAAATCACATTTTTTAGTTGAGAGATTTATTTGCACTACAAATAATGACTAAGCATTTGTAATCTTCCTGAGGAAGGGTCACTCGACCTGAAACATTAACTCTAATTTCTCTCCACAGATGTTGCCAGACTTGCTGAGCCTTTCCAGCAATTTCTGTTTTTGTTTCTGATTTACAGCATCTGCGATTCTTTCAATTTTTATTTATTATTCAGTCACTGAGTCAAAACCCTGTAATTCCTTGCCCAAGTGCTCTGTGGGTCTACTTACATCATGTGGACTACAGAAGATGATCAAATAAAGCTGCTCATATTTTCAAGGGCAGAAATAATAATATTTTCCGAACAAAAAATTAACTAAAGATGTCCTGGTAGGAACTGTAACTAATAGGGAGGTGAATAAGGGAGATTATTTCTCCATTAGTTTGTCAGATATGAACATCAACAGCAAGATACTAATTGCCCACCCTTAACTGTCAAAGCAGCAGGATCATTTGAGAGCTCAGGGTGGTCACCCAACCTTTTGAGAGTCGCCCAGACCAATGCTCAGTATTGAGACACGGCCAATGGCAGAAACAGCAAACCTATGGTGGTGATGATGGAACAACTAGAATCTCAGAACAAAGCTACTTATAGGAGAAGTTTCCCTTGAAAAGACTAGAGTTTGCTTCAGGCACAAGGCAGGCAGTGGGAAATCTCTTGTATTCTTTTCCCTAGTCATACTGCTCACAAACTGAAAACAGGAGGCCCTTAGGAGTAACTGAAGGGTAAGCTCAAGAACAAGATGAAACAACATGGTAAACAAGCAGAGGACCTGCCATAAGATATTACCATGACTTAATTACCCTTTAGAAGGTAGTGCTGAATCACCATTTTGAATCATGTACTCCATTGATACAGGTACAGTACTGTTAGGAAGGGAGCTCCAGGATTTGAACCAAGTGACTATGAAGAAATAGTGATCTAATTCCAAGTCAAGAAAGTGGTGGAGGCGATGTCCCCACTTGTCTTCCTTCTGTATTATTTTCCGTGTTAGAAGCTGCAAGTTTGGAAGCTGTTGTTGAGCGAAGCTAGGAAAGTTGCTGCAGTGGTGCTTGCAGATAGTACACATTGCTGCTCTGTTGGTGGAGGCAGTGAATGGTACATGAAATGCTGATCTAGTAGGTCACTTTGACCTAGATGATATGCAGCTTCAAGGAAACCCTCAAAGAACTGTGCAATTGTAATAACACTACAAGGGAGAAGGTATGTATTTTAATCTTCACTGGTTTGATGCTTCGTAATTATAAAATCACAATAAAAAAAGAGAACTCTTCTTTTTAAGTTAAGAGTTTCCATCTGCTCTGAAACCTACTCAAATTTTGACAGTTGGATGCACAATTCACATTTTAAAAAAGTCAAATTTGCCCTTTCCTCCAATGTGAATGGATTTTATTAACAATTTTAGGATCCGAACGGGTATCTTTGCCAAAACTAATTAATTCTTTATTGGCCATACCCTGTGTTGGCACCAAGTTTTGTTGAAATTTTCCCTTTTAAGATATATTGATTCTAAACAGATTTAGAAACAGAGTCAAAAATGTTACCTCCGCTTGTGGATTGGCAGACATAATCATGGAGGATTTCAATTACCCTATTACTGAATGGAGGTGGCAATGGAGAAAAGAATTTAGTTCCTATAATATTTACAGAACTTCTTTTTCACTCAATATGTAATATCATACTCTGTGACCACTACAGAGAAGGGCAGAGTATGACGGAAATCAGGTTAAAAATTGGAGCAAAGTCAATATTGAAGGGCTCAGAATACAACTTCAAAAACTAAAATGACAAGGAACTTATAAAATGACACCTAACCTCAAAATGTCTGTTAAGGACGAAGAGCTTAAGTGCTTAGTCACAGCAAATCAACCAAGTGCCCTTGAACATTTGTGTATCAAGAATGTTCCTAAAATGGATATGTTTATATCCGATAAAGATTACATGAAACACGAACACCACAAATTAAGATACTTAAGCAAAATAAGAGTTGGTTTATTGCAGCATTATAAGTGTTTTACTTTTTTGTACAGGCCATCATTAACATAAATAACACAGACAGAGGCCATTCAACATCTTCAAGCCAGTTATGCCATTCAGTAAGACCACGGGTGATCTTCGACATTCACTCCAAATTATTGCCCCATTCTAATATTCCTCGATTTCATTCAGGCCCAAAAATCTCATTGATCTTAATCTTAATCTTGAATAAACCAAATATCGGAACATCCACAACCTTTTGGGGTAAAGAATTTCAAAGATCTAAAACCTTTCGAGTGAAGAAATTTCTCAGCCATCTCTTACCTGGAGACTGTGGCCCTAATTTAAGCCATACTTCAAATTATCTTAACTGCATATCTGAACACACTTAGCAGCAAGAGTGCAATAATCCACTGTAAACCAGCTGTGGGTCACAAAAGACAATGCACAGCAGCTAGAAAAGTGCACTGTATATTCTTTCATATCACTGCAAGCAGAGACTTCAGCAAAACAAATTCTCCACCTATCATTTTTCTCTTAGTTGTACTTCATTTTAAATTTACCATGTGACAGTATCAGTGAAACTCACTGAATGCTGACAATGTCTACAGGATGATTTCAGTTGTGTAGATAGCCAACGTAGAATTTCCTTTTAAATGAAGATTAAACACCCATTCTACTGCTTCAGCAAGCTGTATTAAAAATGGTTACTTCTGATTTCATTTTCTGCAATTCCATAAGGGATCTCTGCAATATTCTGGCACCAGCGTTAAGAGAACTGAAGGAAATCCAAACATATTTGATATTACATTTAAAAACAGCCAGCAGGAAAATATTCTCAAATCGAGGGGGCCAGAAGGACTAAATATTTCCAAGGCAGGATTTCTTACAATATGTACTAATAATATCAGCATGATCTTTTTCCAAACCAACTCAAAAGATGAGAAAATTTTGAAGACAATTGAATTATGCTCAAAGCCATTAACAATGGGGTAACCTCAATCTTTTACTCAAGGTGCATTCATAAAGGAAATCAGGCCACATTCACAGATCATTGAGTTTCCCGGAATTGTGCTAATAAGGTAAGACCATTCAAAAAGTTATGCTCATTTGCCTGTCCATGCATACACACATCTAACGTTTTAGGTAGAAAAATACATGTAAATTAGTATGAAACCCATAAATAAACATCAAACATTATTGCACAAAATAAAACATCACAGTGCGGGGGGCGGGGGCGTTGCACATTGGTTTGGATAGGCTAGCTAACAAGCAGTAGAGAAGTGAAAATGGGTCTTTTTCAGGTTGGCAAGATGTAACAAGTAGTGTGCCACAGGGTTTGGTGCTGGGACCTCAACTGTTTAGAATTTATATAAATTACTTAGATGAAGGGAAGAAGATACAGTTGTCAAATTTAGTTACGATAGAAAAAGACACAGAGGCCGAGTGAGTGGACAAAGATGTAGCAAGTGGAGTATATTATAGGAAAATGTCAAGTTTTTCATTTTGGCAGGGAATAATAAAAAAAGCACAATTTAAATAGTGAGAGATTTGCAAAGCTCCAAGATATGCAGAGACCTTTGTATCTTCAGTCATAAATTCCAAAAGGCTAGTGAGCAGGTACAGCAAGCAATTAAGAAAGCTAGTGGAAGCTATCGTCGATTGTAAGGGGAACTGAATACAAAATTAAATAATTTAATTATATGAGGTACTGTTGGGACAAAATCCAGAGAATTGTTCACAATATTGGTCATCTTATTTAAGGAAGCATATAAATGGGTTGGAGGCAATTCAGAGAAGGTTGACTAGATTAATATCTGGAATGGGTTGGTTACCTTCTGATGACAAGATGGTCAGCCAAGACTTAAATCTAATGAAGTTTGGAAGAGTAAGAACAACTTGATAGAAACGCACAAGATCTTGAAGGGTTTTGGCAGGGTAGATGTGGAGAGGATGTTTTCTCTTATGGGAATGACCAGAACTAGGGGCTCCTTTTTAAAAATCAGAGGTCATCCATTTAAAAGAAATTAGGCAATTTGTTTTTTCTCTTGGAGGGCTGTAACGTCATTGCAACTCTGAAAATGCAGAGTCCTTCAATATTTCCAAGACAGAGGTAGTTAGGTTTTTGTGTAATGAAGATTAACAGAGATAGGCAGGAGTGCGGATTGAGGTGACAATTCAATCCTGCTCCTGATTTGTATGTTTGTAATGAAAGATGAAGACTACCGAAAAGAGAGACATGTTGCTTAAGCTTTCCACATTGCGCTCATGAGAACATGCATCTAGATAGCTTGCAAACAGAGCTCTAGCTGTTTGTTCATCCCACAAGATTGATTTAAGTAGTAGAGCTCGTTAAAGGTGTCCTGCAGTACAACAGCCATCCAATGAAACATTGTTTGTACATTACAAAAGGGCCAAAGGACATCACTTTGGTGATGAAAGTGCCCACTCTACTTCATATTAGTCTGAAAAGGTAACGCATCTCAAAACTTTGAGCAGTTTCATGCTGCTACTTTGTAGTAGTTACATGTGACATTTTCCATGAACAAGATGCTGCTGTCAGTCTAAATAAAACATTTTGCCTACCACTAACTTGAGCAACTTGGCTGTGAATTTCAATGTCAGTGGAGTGTCGGGTGTGTGGACTGCACAACCCAGTGACTGGCAGATCAAATCATACAACATCCTCTTTCAGTTGTTTGACATAGACAAAGAACAGACCATATTCAACTAGCCTCTGCTTGCAAAACCAAAAACAAATTGTCTCCTGTAGAGGCGATTTTGAGATTGAACAGCGTTTACTGAAGAATCTAAATAGCTACACTAACAACCAGTTTAAGATGATCAGACAAACTCATTTACATTTGCTGCAGCTCCCCACTGTTTTCTCGTTGCAGTGCTTCAGATAATCAGACTGAAACACCAAATAATCAGTTGCCTTCAGTCCGGTAGTTTTTTTTTTGTCATTTGTACTTATTCTTATGACCGCAAGGCATAAAGCTTCGGCAACATCTCTTTTTTTTAAAATCAATGTTTGTGCTGTGAACTACCAATGAAAGGAGTAAATAGAACAGTATTATGCTTTCGAGTTATTTTACATAACAAGCAATGTTATTCACAGGTGGAACATCAATTGTTTTTATTGCAAATGTTTATTTTGAGACAAAGCAGCTGCATAAAAAAAGCTGCACTAGATTATCACTCTTTCAAGGAATACTTTACAACAGAAATAAATTACCTACTGTGCTGGCCCATGCAAGACCTCAAAAATCATCTGTACAATCATAAACATAATCAGAAACTTGAACCACAATCTAACAAGTGCAAGTGACCACACTTTCATGATTTACTCATAGCAGACACTTTATCACCCCATGGGTACTTCATTGAAAATGTTCCCGATAGGAATATTTTCTAAAATTGCTTTACACAAGTTAAAGGACACAAAAACTCTCAACTTCAGTATTAAATATTTACAACAGTAAATGATTACAGATCTCTCTAAAATGACCTACCTGTACTGCTGAATTCATAAAACACGTGTTACCCAAATTACTCAAGCCACACAGGCCACTCTGTTCACTGTGTCTTCCTGCTTCTAGATAATCGTAGCTGTTATAGCCAGAATATGGGGGAATACAGTAGTTTGAATTTTTCACACTGAAAGAAAAAGAATGGAGTATTTAGTTGAAATAAATGTCACTGATCTTAAGATAACAAGCATATATACATTTATGAAAAAGGCAATATCAGGGCTTACACCTGGAGTATTTGCAACTACAGATTAAAATGTTAAGACTTAGAATAATCCAGATATGCATTGTAGGGCACCAAAAACATTTTCCCCTATCACTGTCATAATGCAAAAATCTGTAGTGCTACTAGACCTCCTACATAAGCACTGGGATCACTACCATTCATTTACAGGAGCTCTTTCACAGTTCACTTTGTTTTCCAAATCTGTGTTTAATTTTAAGCAGTCTGACTTTATACACCAACAACATAAAATCATCTCATGTCTTCCTTTTTACAGCATGAAACCCATCATAGAGGCAAGGCTAACGGGAATCTGGAAGGAAAGGGTGCGCTTCAGTTACAGGTGAGGGTGCAGGCATTCCAGAGGCCTCCATGACATCACTGGTTCAGTACATTAGAGATTCTATTTATAGTGCGGTCTGCTAAGACAGCATAATCTAAGCTTCACATGCAGTGAGGAGCCTGCGGAGGAATGAGGAACTGACTAATGCATCCTGGAAAGCAAGCTGTGCAGAAAAGCTGTGACTTGGTCAATTTTTTGATGGGGCAAGTATAGAAAAATAAGAGAATAAACTGTCCTTACTTCATTCATGGTAAAAGGAAGTCCACTTTGAAAAAAGGTTGTAATGCTGTGCAGTCTGATTTAGTTCCTCCCAAAAAGTAATTTTTACAACCTCAAGAGTTTCAAAGCAAAATTAGCAGGGATTTTGGGGCATTTGTGTTGTCACAGAAGTTGTAAAAATGATGAATGTATAATGAATCATTGTAATGCTATAATTAATTTGTCTCTCAAGGTCACTTATAAGAGTACTGATGAGAAAGGCAACACACTCCTGTTTAATAAAGTACGATAATTGTACAAAGCAGTTTAAAAGCTGTGATCTGTTAAAAGTTGGTTCCAAAACAAAACCGTTGAAACAAAAATGGTGTTGACACTACATAAATAATTCTGATCACTTTATATGTAAAGAATCTAACTGAAATTCACATACCCTCCCTTCCAAACAGAAGAACAAAACAATTTTGCTTATATTTATTTTGCCAATCTTTGAAGTGTGCTGAAATAATAAAAACTTAACTGAGGCACCATTTCAAGTACACAGTGTATTTTGATTAATGGAAGTGCAATTAATTTGCAGGTACTCACATTGAAACACCAGGCCGACCCTTCTTAAAATAGATGATGGGCACAGCAGGGAAGAGGTCAGACAAATGAGGAAATGACTAACATGTTTTTAAGATTCCTTCAAGTTTTCCTCAAGAATCCTGAAGTCAACCATACTCGACATTATTTGACCTTGTTCAATTTCAGTATAGAAGGTACATATCTAAGAGCGTGCCATTATAAGAACTGTTTAAATATCTCCTTACACGAAGGAGAACAGATGGCATTTTATGTTAAAAAAGTGAAAACTTGCGCCTTTATTATCTCTGTCTACAGCATGCAACTGAGCCAAGAAGTAAGGTAGTGATGCAAGTTTAAGGAAATTAAACAATTGCTTGCTGTTCAAATGGATTTCAAGGGAAGAATGTTGGTGTGCCTACTTCATCAGACAGTAGCAAAGATGAAAGGTTTGTATTTTTGTAAGCAAACACTAAGGAGTCCAAGAGTTGGTTCTAATTCATTAGCTGGGAAAGAAATACAGTATTATATCCAATCTATGCATATAAAGATGCTGACTGCCAAAGAAAGCCCAGGTATTCTACTCTGGGGGAAAAAAAAATTTCATTAGGCTCTACAGTTCTTAAGAGGTTATAATATCCTTTGCCTGTATACTTATGGTCTGAGGGTGTGGGTGCATGTATGCCTGTTTTTCGGGAGTGCGGGTTGGGGGAGGGAGCGGTGTGCGAGTGGTGATTGAGGAGAAAGAGGGGAATCGTGAAGTAGATCCTACCTCATTGTCTGGAAAAATACAACCATCCAGCTATTGACTGATATGGGCCTTGCTGCAGCAACTGCGCTAGTGACCAGCGCTTGGTCAGAACATGAATACAAGGAACCTAAATATACAGAAAATAAACAATATACTTCTGTCAGTTGCATAAGCTTCTCGATTTGAGGCTCTACAAAGCTAAACTTGAGTACTTACCATTGTAATTGTAAATGAGGATCATGAAAAATGCAGAACATATTAGTTCACTTTACAGTACCATTAAATGAGATACTGGAGACAGTGCTTTCTTAAACACAAGTTTCAGTTAAAAGTTTCCACAGGTAGATTTTCTAGTCGGTTTATCCATACAAGAGCAAAGGTCCAGAGGACACTAGATTTTTTTTTTTTTTTAATTCTTATATACAAAGGCAAAATTGGATTGGTTTTCCACTGGTTACTTTAATACTGTCTAGCTGCTGCATTTGACAGTAAATGATTATATTGTGGGATTTCTGGAATGATATTTTCTGAAAATATTTTTAAAAAGAAAGCACATTTAATGGATTTTGTCTACAAACTAAAGTACATCTATAAATGAACTAAAGGTGGTCAAAACATCGGCAAGGTAGGATTTTAAATAGTTTCTCTGAATCTTGTCATCACTGAGCAGTTTTATTATCCAGTCTTAGCAAAAGCCTTGCATCCATTATGTTGGAAAGTTCTTTTTCCTGGAGACATAGCAGATGCTGCCCACTTTTATTAAAAATAAAACAAGAAGCTGTCATAGTACTAACAGTCCAGCAAAGAACACAAGACGACTGGAACATAGCAGAGTAATTTATGTTATGACAAAGAGACAGACTGCCAAATCAAATCAGGTTCTCTGCCCTTGTATTTGCAACACCGTAAAATTAAAATACTCAAATGAACCGCAAAATTGACTCCAACGGTTCCTAACCAGCCTTTTTCAATGACCAGTATGAGACTTTCTGAATAACTGATAATAGACACTAGGTTTATAACTCAAACAAATGATTTAATTTATTAACAATACAGTAACATTTACAGAGCAATGTTAAACAAGATAATCTAATTAATATCTAAGATTGAAACCCAATCTTTAATTCCAGACAAAGGATAAATCAAAAGGGAAAACTAAAATAGATGTAACTAGCCAGTTCACCTCAGCAGTCTCCATGATCCATAACATCATCGATATATGGGTTTATATCTTGCTTGGTTTCTGATGACACTGATGCATGAGGATAGCTTCCAGTAGGCTCTGAGGAATATTCATTTATTTCAAAGAACTCATTTTATTCTATGAATTTACAATAAGTTGACGCTAAGAGGACAATCAGGGCGCAATTAAACCTCTGCCCTGCAGTTTTCGCAGGCACAATGCTTTTGACCTAAGAACAGTCCAAAAATCAGTTCAAACTCTGGCCTCACTCTCCCAGACTGACTATATTCCCATGAAGTCCCATTTAACATTCAACATCTGTCATTTGCTTGAGCATAAGGCCTCTCTGGAGCTGAAAGATCTATAGAACACTTTTTAAAACAAGAATCAAGCTTCAATTAACTTTCTGGTCAGGCCTTAAAAAACAAATAACAGCTTGTTTGTTTTTTTTTCAAGCACTAGCTGCTGCTCACAGTCCAAAGGTCACTTTTTAACTCTCAGCTCTAAACCAAAGAAAAAGAATAAGATCATGAAAAAAATCCATAGGAGTTCTAACTTTGGAAACTATTTTAGTTAAATGTGGGAAACTGCAGAGGGCTTTTTTTATCCAGCAAGAATGAGGTACACTAATTGAACTCAGTACAATCATTGTTCCTTCTCTATATACAGTGTGAAATAAAGCAGCTTACATCGCATACAATTGAGCAAATTCAGTAAATACTGAAGAGTTACAGGAGTTCCAAATTATTTTGTAACTGGTCTTGTTTCTTGGTCCCCACCTTCAAAAAAAAAACTAAAACATTTCATGACAGTCTGTGCAAAAGACACTCGCGACAGAATCTGAAAGCATAGCAGGTTGCCAGTTAGTCTGTACTGGTGCTTTAAGACAGCTGCCCAGTTTCGTCCAATATGGGCAGCATGATGGCTCAGTGGCAAGGACAGTGGGTCTGGGGGATGAGATGCTCTTCGGGCAGGGAGGGTGGTCGATGAGTCCTCATAAGTCGATTGGCCTTCTTCCCCACACTGTAGGGATTCAATGGTTTTATTCCTGTACATTAGTTTTCTTCAAATAGAAGAGGAGCTAGACACTTTGTTTAGTGGATTGTTATGTTAGAAAGGAATGCCTGACAGTGTGCTTGGAACAGACCTAAAATCCATTTAAAGGAAAAACTGACACCACTAAAACTTAGCAGCTATCCACAAGTAGATCCAATTTTGTGATGTCCATTTACTTAAGGAATGATGAAAATGCTGCTTTAATTTATGCTTGTATTATATAAAGAGAAAGGAGAGTAGGTTCATCTATTTATGGATACAATTTACCGATCTCTCCTCTACATCGGTGAGCCAAGCGGAGGCTCGGACACCGTTTTGTAGAGCGCCTACACTTGGTTCGCAACAAACGACAACACCTCCCAGTCGCGAACCAGTTCAACTCCCCCTCCCATTCCCTGGACGATATGTCCATCCTGGGCCTCCTCCAGTGTCACAATGATGCCATCCGGTAACTGGAGGAACAGCACCTCATATTCTGCCTTGGAAGCCTACAACCCAATGGTCTCAGTGTGGACTTTACTAGCTTCAAAATCTCCCCACCCCCAACCTCACCCCAAGACCAGCACGCCTTTCTCATCCCCGCCTCATTGACCTGTCTGTCTTCTCTCCCACCTATCCACTCCTCCCACCTCACTGACCAATCCCCACCACTACCTACCTGCTATCACCGTGCACACCACCCCCACCTCTATTTATTTCAGAGCTCCCTTCCTTCCTTCCCCATTTCTGAAGAAGCGTCCAGACCCGAAAAAGCAGCTTTCCTGCTCCTCTGATGCTGCCTGGCCTGCTGT